GACAACTACGCGACAATAATCATTGTATCACGAGAATATCGAATACAGAATCTAGCTGTAGTCTTACGATGAAATTATAGAGTAATATTTATAAGAAAACGCATTATTAGAATCGAAAAGTATAATATTATATTACTAATGTATTAATTGTACAATCGACTAGCGTTGAATACCCATACCAAACTACACGGCCACTCTTGTATACGTCCGGTCAATGAATGAAAAATGTGTTATAATGTGTGATATTAAAATTCACGCGGGGATGTATTTTAATAATAATTAGGTGGACATGGGGGAAAGTCCTTAGCCTCGGGTACCACAGTTTAAGGGAGTGTCATGAAAAAAAGTACATTTATCTCGTTATTTATTACTAAATTTTAATGTAAATTGCGCAACTGGACATTCCAGTGATAGGTATTTGAAAGGGTGCTAATTGAATACCGAACAGTGTCCCGGCAGGGTGTCAAAAATCGAAATGCGTCTCTGTTGAATCGATCTCTTTTAGTATTTTTACATTGCCCAAAACACCCGGCATTGTTATGCATCACAAAAATGTCCGGACTTCCTACTTTGACCGTAACATTCAGGTGTACGTATTCATTTCGTACGGCGTTGTCTAACTAGACCTTGGTTCGTAAATCGTTTAATTGTACGTTTACGTCTTATTGTATTACAATAGTTGTACAATTTATAGTAGGCATACGAATATAATGTACCTGTGTTATATGGCGAACAAAATAGGTATGATGGGTATTGCACAAAGAGACATCGTTTTATAAAGGTCCGAATCGATTGGTACAATAATATTATCAAAAAAATAAAAAAAATATATTTATCTCCGACAAAGGCGAACTTATTGCGTACATAATAATAATATATACGCATGGTTCGTAAATCGTTTAATTATACTTATATGTCTATCTGTGCAATTTTCGAATGTATACCTGTACTACAGTATAAAGAGACATTATTGTGAACGTCCGATTCGACAAATACGATAATATTGTCAATGGAAAAAAAAATAAAAAAAAAAAAAATCGCAGTGCACAGCAGCTACACATAATATATATCGTAATATGCGTCGTTTATATCCGTAATTTAAACGTTGCCGCCAAAGAATTTCCGGGACGCCGTCAAACGCGTAGTTCCTGCCGCGGTCCCTTTGTGGCGGACAAACCGACCGGTCGTCGTCGGTCGACCGGCAGCGAAATATAATAACATTATATTTATATTGTATTAGGTGACCGGCACCGAACGGCCGGTGACGGAGGCGGAGGAGAAGGAGATTATAATATTAGGCCGTGTATTATATTGTGTATAGGTACACAGTGTGCACGCAATATTATTATTAGGTATTACAGGAGGGACGGAAATAATGCCCGTCGTCGTCGTCGTCGTCGTCGACGACGCGTACGGGTAAGTACCTACGCGCCTAATAAACTCGCGTACAATGTAATTTTTTTTATTTTTTTTTTCTACGTGCAGGTAATAAACGTGGTAAACGCCATTGTGTCGACGGGCGATCCGTCGGTCGATTGAACAGTGTTTTTGCACTTGCGGGATCTAATGCGAGCCGACGCAATGTATGGTATACGTTCGTACGCGGCGCGCACAAACGCGCCCGCGCACAATGAACGTTTTCCACGGATATAATGGGTATGACGCGTATTATAGGCCGTATAATAATACAAATAATTATTATTACGTACGGCGGCGGCGGCGATATAATGACGGTAGGTATAGGTATATCGTTACGTTATAGTAATACGTGTGCATAGGTGGGTGGAGTATAAGAGAAAGCGAGAGAGAGTGAGAGAGAGAGAGAGAGAGAGAAAAGAACTCTGGCCGCGATACACTACTTGTGTGCGCCTCTGAAAAAATGTAAAAAAAAAAAGAATAAAAAAAAAAAAGACCTCCGAACACAGTGAACTCAATGAACCGATCCGTCTATTATAATATCCCTTTAATCCGAACAAACTCCGCGGATCCCCCTCGTTATATTCGGTGTATTATATTATGCACGTGATGTGCACAATAGGTACAAACTATATAGGTATATACGAGTGTGCGCTATATCATAGTTGTCTGTACGTTATACACTGCGCGGCCCCGGAATCTCTATAAAATTTAATATTATTATTTAAGTGTCTAATAATATAAATATACGAATAAGTTGGATTTACACATATGTATACACGCGTTATTAATATTATTATAGGTATCGAACGGCTATAACGAGCATTGCGCGCTGATCCTGAATAATTATCGTTTAATTATATTATACAGGTACGCGATGGTATTACAACGTGAACAGTAACGCAGTTGTTGTTGTTCTCCACTTCCCCCTCCCCCCGATTGTTTTGTCGGCAAAAATTTTAATTGCGCGCGTTTTATACCTCTGTTTGTTAGAATGGCACGGAATCGTATTATTTTTGTATCGGGTACCATACCTGTAACCGCAGAGCCTAAAATAGATCTGATTTCAGGGGACACACTTCTTAATTGAATTGTAACTTTTGACAGGTTTCCATGGCAACAAAAAAAAAAAAAAAAAACCAGTGGGGGTTGTAACACTCAAAAATTATCCTCCTTTTTGTATACCGCCTATCTACAGATTTACATTATGACGTTTGAACTGAAAATATACAAAACCAATAAAAGTTCAAAATATATTACTAATAGTTACATGAACACACCAGTAGCGGTTTTGATAAAACATCAAGGGGGGGGATTTTAGATTTGTTGAGCCCCATACCATATTGACATACATCAAATAAATGGATACAATTTGTTTATGGTCCTATCATAAGTTACATATAACTTTCATCTAAGATTCTGAGTGGATCAAAAAGCTTATAATTTTAACTGATTTATCTGTGGACAACTTTTCTACCACAGACCTTGCTCCGATGCAGCAACTTTTCCGAAAAGAAATTTTTTGGGGGATTTACTTTAGGGAGGTCATTTTTCTCAACAAATTTAAAAAACCGACTTCGTACTTTAATCAAGTCATTTTTGATTTTCGACGACATTTTTTTAAATAAAAGCACCGAAGTGGGAAAAAACGTAGGAAAACGTACAATTTCACGATTTCATTATTTTATAAAAACACGGACAACATTTTCTGCCAGAAAAATTGATTTAATCGGAAAATTACAAGATACCCTCTTTGTTGCCTTTTTAATTTACATTCTTACGGTATTATCACCAAAACTTTTAAGCCACTTTTAAATTTTAAGGAATTTATTTTTTTGGGAGTTTTTTTGCTGTAACCCGGTTATAAAAACACCTGGAAACTTGAAACTTTGTAATAATACTTATATTGGACTTATCTATGTAAAATTCATTGATGTTCATTCATGAATAATATAATGCAGATACAGGTTGCTTGAACAATTTGATTATTTGATGAAATTATTATTAGAAGGTAGTACTCGTTATCACTTTTGGTAATAAGTAATGATAATACTTTTGTTATTAATATTTTATCAAATTTATTTTAAACATTTTTCATTTTTTTTTTTTTCTGTTCTGATTATTAAATATTTGTTTTTTAATATTATAATTATCTTTTACATATAATTATCTATTGAAATGTATGATATAAACTATAAACACATTTTAAAAATCAGAACTTGATTATTTTTATGATCTCCGGAGATAATCATGCAGTATATATTCGTAGGACAGCCGTGGGTATATGCTAGTTTTACAAAATGCCTATGCACTTGATAATAACAACGTTATGCCTAATTATTGTATTTTAAAAAGAAAGTTATTCGCGATAGAAAACGAAATGGCTGCTATCTGGTGGTGGTGGCATGAAATGTTGTAACGGGGCCGACATGAAAACTGAATTAATGATGAAAATATGAAATACAAAATATTGAGAATTGGTTTACCCGCTTTGTCATGATTAATTAACGTCGCGTTTTAATTTTGATTAAACTTTCGTATTTGATAGCTACCAACCCATAATTATGGATCATGATTATTGTGCAACAACACCAAAAACTCGCAAAAAAACATAAATATTGTCCAATGTAAAACAATATTCTCTGTGTAAACATATTTAAAATAATTATTTGATTTTAATTTGCAGATAATACCAAGAGGATTTGACTTTTCACACTTTTCCTAAAAATGTTATCCTAAAAAAGAAATGGGAGCATGCTTTAAAAATTAATATTACTAATTCTCCTACAAATAATATTAATGTGTGCAGCAAGCATTTTATTAAACATGATTTCTTACAATTTACAAGTTATTATTATAATTTATAAATAATATTCAAATTATATAGAATACCTACCAACTGTTAAATTAATATGGAGTAACATAGGTAAGTACTTTAATATGGTTGTTATGTAATGGGTGTAGTAAAATCAATACATTCTTTGCTACACTCAGAACCTAAAACTGAAGCTGATCATCATATTTGTACATTTTTACTTTTTTAAAGGCCTGACCTGTCTTCTTAATAGATTTACGATAGTTGTTGCTAATGTTATTCCAGTGAATTTTTTATAATTTCCCTATAAAATTAAAATAATTCTATAAGTAAAAAAAAAAAAAAATTATTTTGCAAATATACATCCAAATAACAAATATTATGGATATTACAATATTTTGTTTTAGGTTCTTAATAACAGGACATTCGTTTAAGACCATTTCTTTCAGTTACCATCTCGGTCACGCAATGGTTTATAAAATTGTAATTAACACTTGTCAAAGTATAGTAAAAAATTTGATGTCTGATGTAATACCTCAACCAACTTAATAACGGTGGAAACAGATCACAAATGATTTTTGAACATCCGAAATTTTCCTAATTTTTAGGAGCGCTAGATGGCAAATACAACAGTATCCAAGCCTCATCAAATTCTGGTTCAAATATTTTTAACTATAAAAAAACTTTTTCAGTTTTATTTCTATTGCATTGGTGGATGTAAATTACAATTGCGTTGCAATAGACATAGGCGCTTACGGTAAAAACAGCGATGGTGGTACATTCTAATTTGGGAAAATCGTTAGAAAATGGATTATTAAATATTCCTAATGATAAGATTCTACCAAACGTCAACAATTCTGCACCGTGCGTTATACTAAGTGAGGTAGCATTTCCACTGAAAACATACTTGATGCGACCATATCCTGGGAAGCAACTTGACGACTTATTTAAACGAATTTATAATTATCGTGTTTGTAAAACACGAAGAATAATCGGAAATTGTTTTGTTATTTTAGCACAAAAATGTCGTATCTATAACAGATTAAATCAGAAAACGTAAACTATATTATTTTAGAAACTTGTGTTCTTCTCAGTTTTATAAAAAAAAAATACAGCACTTTTGTCAATAAACATGTTCAAAATATCAATGAACCAGTTTCAAACATTACTTTAAATAATATGCCTATGCAAGGCGGTGGAGCTGGGCGGACAACGTTTGCAATACGAAAATCATAGAGAGCAAAACCAACAAATCCATGTATGAAACTTTTATTTTGCATTTTTTGAAGTTTTAATTTTTAGGTCATTTTTTGCACTTTTAGGTCATATTTTCTTTTAATGGTTTATTTTTCGGTATTTTTTTTATCGAATTCCATCAATTCAATCCATGAAAACATATTTTTAACAAAATAAATACCTAAAAAAAATTTAAAAAAAGTTTCAGGCGAATAGAATTATTGAAGAATCAATCAACTTTAAAATTAAAATTCAAATTCAATCAACATTTTAATAATATTTTTCATTAAATAAATACATTTGTATGCATATAATATACTATTATCAACATAAATATAAAAATTAAATTAAAATCCATTTTAAGTGCATTTTATACAACATTTTTTGCATTTTAAATACATTTTTATGGTTTTTTAGTGCATTAAATTCACATTCCTAATAATAAAAAATAGATAGCCCATTCCTATAGTTTCAAAATAAGCTCCGGCGTTGCTATATAGCAGATGTATCTTTATCTCACAAAACTGCCTTATACCACAATGGTTACTGCGGTTAGTTTGGCATAAATATATAAAACAACTAAATTGCAAATTCTGTATACTGGCTTGACAACAATTTTAAGTCGTCAACCATTAACAGGTGGGGCAAAAACGATTGAAAAATAGGATATAAGTATTATCAATTTTAATATCAAGTCAATGTTAATTATCTTATAATGGATACATTGTAATTACAACTGTTAAACATCAATAATTCACTATCGTTTTTGTCCAACCTGTAAATAGAGTCTGACTTAAATACAAAAAATGAATAATTTAAAAATAAACTTTTCGTATTATGAACTGTATATAAATCTTAATATTTAATTTTAAGACTTATGTTACTTATAAAATTATAGTTAGTATTAGTTTATTTGAAAGTAATGTCTTTGTAAGAGATAAATTTAGTTAAAACTCCCATAAACATTGACTGAAATTAGTTATGGGTTTTGTAAAGTAGAGTTTTTACATTGACATGCATTAATAATTTAATTCTTTTTCACATTTTTACATTTTAATACTGCTAAACAAAATTTACAATTTAAGTTTTTTCTTTATTTTACTGATGTTGCTGGCAACATAGCATTGACATATAAGGGTTAATTTTGATTTTTTCGGGTAGGGAATTGTTTTTCTTTTATTGGAAATTAATTATTAATTATAGTTGCTTTATAGTTAATAACTGTTATAAGTTTGTTAAATTTACACAATTACCTTCTTAACAGTTTGTACCAATAGAATGAGAAGATTAAATTATTCATAAATAAAGATTTAAATTCACTCTGAAAATTTGAAAAACAATTTGAAAATTTGTATTTCTCGAGTAATAGGCTACAAACTTGGCAAAAAAAGTTTTTCACGTGAACTTGGTTGAAAAAGCTAACAGTTAAAAATTATAAATTTATAAATTTAAAACCAAAATGAAGCAATTTTTACATAAATACTGAAACTCTTCAATGGTAAATATCCAGTTTTTTATGCTTGGAATCTTCATATTAAGCTACATACTTTGGAAGACTACTATTGCCTCTTTCCAAAATTACCAATGGGTCAATGAAGATATCACAGCACAACGTAATACTTTACCTGGTTAAGGATTTGTGGAACAACATTTCACACTGTCAAACAATTCATCCATAAAAAGACAATTGTTGCAGTATTTGATGATTCTATTGCTTAGTTTGTTTCTCTTTTTACCTTAAATAATCAATACAATATGTATGAATACTAATAATTATAATGAAAAAAGCTGTCTTAGGATAATGAGGACAGGCGCAGCTACTGTTCTAGGTAATTTAATGTATATCTGTAAGCAGCGAATAAACCATTGCTAATAAAAAAAATGATTATGAGCAGAGTTCAGTTGATAGTGATGCTTTGTCAATAATATATATATATATATATATATATCATATTATAGTAGAATAATTAAATAGGTATTATATGATTTCTTTAATAATATTCATTTGATGTTGTACCAATTAACCAAATTTAACCTACATTTTTCCCGGTTTTTACATTTGCTGGGAAAACTCTTGGGAAAATCAAAAAAATACTACTCTAAAATAGTATTTATACTCAGTCGGATTTCCTTTTGGAAAAATTGCTATCATTATAAATCGGAACAAAATGTCTATAAATTAATTTGTCTGATATTTTTGATTGTTATTTTATATTAAACTGTCTTTTGTTCGTAGCTAATAAGGTTTTTTTTTCATTACTGCAATAACTTTGTAATTATCTTTTTATTGGAGTCATTTAACTCTATATATTTAACTCAAGTAACTTGATACTTATTAATTACAATAATAGTGATAATATTATAGTTTATTTGCTAATATAACATTATACAGTTAACAAAAGAAATATTCATAGGTAATATGGTACAAAACAATTATAATTAACAACAAATCTTATACTAACTAATTTCTAAAAATCTAAAAGATTGTACTAAGAAGTGGGAATTTCTAATAAAATTATAAATCTACACAAAATTGATTGTTACATTCATGATGACTACAAACAAACATTAATTAAATAACAAGAAAGAAAATAAAACATTTACAAATCATATCTAAGTGTAATATTATTAAACTGATTATGTTTAACATATAATATATAACTTAAATATTTGACTTAAATGTGTAACTTTAAAGAGTTAATATTATGAAAAAGATTTTAATTTAATTTAGACACAAACAATGTACATTTGTAAATAGGACTCTGAGAGGTTACAGTCTTAAACTATTTAATGGAATTATGATTAGATTGAAACTTATTTCTAGTATTATAACTATACTAAATAGACTTCAAATAATGTTTACATTTATATAATAAGTAAAAGTAATGATTTATAATATAAAGCAGATAGGCACTGGACATCAAAGTCAATGTATAACTGATATGTTGGGTATAAAAAAAGCTTTGACATAATGACCTTAATTAAATTATTAATAGTTGTATTTAAAGTAGTTAAATAATTTTTGTAAGTACCACCCCAAAAGGGCAATATATAGTAGACTAAAGATTGAATTAATGAAATATATATAATTCTTAGATGTTTAATATCCAAAACATTTTTTAAACTTTTAAATGTATAAAATAATATCCTGATAGTAATAACCATTTTATCTATATGATAAATCCATTTTAAGTTTTCATCAATTATCAACCCTAAATATTTAGTATGTTTTACACTTTGAATATGTTGACAGTTACAAGATACAATTTTTTTTTTTACAACTTAAATAATGTGGGCAAACTAAGAGACTGTGAGAGGTAGATGAATTATATCTAAAATTTAATAATATAAAATTAGACTTTTTTAGATTTAATTCAAAAAAATTGTTATTATACATATTCTGAACTATATTAACCGAAAAATTTACTTCATCAAATGGGACTTCCATACTTGTATTATTAAAAAGCAAAACAGTATTATCTACAAAACTATAAATATATAAATATAAAAAACCAATTTAAATCAAAAGACATAGCAATTAAAATAGAGTTAAATTAAATGAAACCTTAACTAAAAACAGACAAATTACTCTCATGTGGGTTTCCAGGCACACAGGCATTCAAGGAAATGAGATAGCCGACAATCTAAACAGTCTAAAATTGCCTCCACAAGTGCGGTAATGACAATAATATTAGGGCCCATAAAAGACATATAGAATAAAAAACCAACAATAAATGGCTCAATTTATGGAAGCGACAAACTACTAAACAAAACATCATAAAAAGAACTATCAACAAGTGGATAAACAGCTCTTTAAAAAGAAAAAAAGAATCTGTACTAAATCGTATGAGAATCGGACACTTGCATCTTACATACGGGTACTTAATGGCAAAGGAAGAAGCTTTCTGATTTGAAGTCTGTAGCATGAAACTCACCATAAGAAACATCTTATAGAAATGCCTCAAATACAAGCGAGATCGACTAAACATCGGATTACAATTCTCGATACTACATTGAGACCAGAAACAATAGACAACTTCAAGGTGAAAGCTTTCTTACAATCATCTAACCTCTACAACTCAATATAAAAAAAATAAGGAAAACATATCGCCAGCTTTAAGTCATCTAAAAGTATTATTATTATAATTATTTTATCCCTACTGTTCTTTTTCTTTTTTTTCTTAATGTAACACTATTCACAGAAATCTACTTGTAAATGACTGTAAATAACCTAAATGTAACTAATAGCCTGGATACTAGGTTTTTTGTTTTGATCAATAAAAAAAAATATTCCAATATAAACTATTGATACTTAGATTTAATTTATCAAAATCAATTACAGGTAAAACTTTATCAATATAATCATTATGACTAGTATTACTAAACTAAAAAGGATCTCTTTACCTTAAGTTAATAGAAAAGATTATACTAAAATGATTAGTAATCGAAGAAAGAATAGCATATGCACAAAGTAGAAGAATTAGATAGTTTTGTTACATTATTAATACACAAATAAAATCCAAACCCCGTAAAATGTTTAAATAATTAATACCTTTTAGATTACTACTGTTTAAGATATCAATTTTGAAATTACCACAAATAATATTATGCTATTTAAAATTTGAACATTAAGTTTTTTTTTTTTTTTTATTTAACTAACAATATATATTTACAATCTGTATTTACACGTAATACAATAAGTAAATGTGATGTGGAGATGATTGGCATGAGGGGGAAGTCGCCCAGGTGCGGCACCCTGTGGAAAGCGATTTAAGGAGAGAGTAGGTCCCTACACCAGTTCCTTTTCAGGCGCCTGGTTGGGTTACCTGGAATTTGATTGGATGAAAGTTGGGTGATTATAGGATTAGAGTGAGTACTGAATGTTTTGTGCGTTTTTTTGTAGGTGATTTTGGCAAGGCTGTTTAAGGTTGGGATGCAAATGTCTTTATGAAGTGATTCATTGGTAATATACCAAGGGGCACTTGATTTTAGACATAGACAAATAGACTGGAATGCCTGGATTGAACATTATGTTAAATAATTATTTAAAGAAAATAAAAAAGAATCAACATTATCATTAGAGTATCTTTAACAGCCAGTGACAATATACTCAACACCATTAATATCAAAAACTACCTTAATGTTTTCAACATTAAACATGGAGTTAGAACATACATTTTTAACTTAATACCTGTTCTTAATGAAAATAATAACGCCATCCGCCGTATTATTTACACTAAGAGAATTAAAGAATTGATAACCATTAATAATAAAATTCACATCATCTAAAAGCCGAATTTCATTATAAAACAATAACATCGCCTATGATGAAAAATTTATCTATGATGTGTATTTTGATGACCGAAATAAATAAAAGAAAATCCAAATATCAAAAACTGGATGAAAACTTTGGTTTCTTATACAGATCAGAATCAAACTCAAGTGAAACCTTGAAAGAAAAAAAAAAATTGAAGGTAGAAAAATGTTTAAGCAGTTATCGTGATGAAACTGAATTTGATGATTTTGTTGATGAATTCATTCAGTTTCAAGCTTATATTGAGTCCATCAATAATGTTTACCAATGTAAGCAGAATCCACATAATCAATTTAAGCATTTGTATGAAATTAATATTTAAGAAAAATTTCCTAATATCGAAGCTATTTTAAGGATATTTTTATCAACTCCATGGACCAACTGTAACAGTAAAAGATCTTTTTCTGTACTAAAAAGAATTAAAAAAAGATTAAGATCAACACTAATTCAGGAAAGACTTGATAACTTGGGTTTACTATCAATAGAAAGCGATTTTATATCTTCTTTAAACTTTTATGACACAATAAATGAATTTACTTCAAAAAAATTAAGAAAAGTAATATGATAAAATAGCTACTATAAATATAAAAATGTTTACTGTTGTTTTCAATATAAATATATATGTGTATATTAATTAATAAATAATAGGTAAAAGAAATCTATAGCCTGTACTCTGTAGGGATAAACATTTATAACATTGTAATTTTGTTTGTAAAAATGTATAAATAAATTGTAATTACTAATTTGTTTTATACAATTCATGTGTGGAGGGGCTATATACACTACTGTTGATAAGGGGTTACATTTTTATTTTGCCTAAGGTTTCGAAAAGCTTAAATCAGGTCATACTTAGCTAAAACTCTTACTTTCCCATACAGTTACCTTTTATATTTAGTAAGGCATACATTAATATAGAGGGGTTTTTACTTTGGTCACTTTGAATTAATGTCAGAGAGAACAAGAGACCTATTATTTTTATAACTTGAAATCAAAAATTGCTTCATAACAGAATGAGAGAGTTTGGCTACAATTTTCTTATAACCATTAATCTCAAATTGAACAGGATAAGCTTCTTTCACATTGACAGTAAAATTTAATTAATTTGCAATATTTAATACAATTTCTTTACAGGGTTCATCAGGAGATAATGGTGTACCTAATAATTCTACAATCAAATTTATACTTTTTTTGTTTCATCCAGTTGAATTGATATGTAAGCTCAGCTAGATCATGATTATTGGGCAGTTTTCATAAAATGTTTAAGAAGAGTGTAATTGTCATGGTTAAAACCTGGATCACATACTATAATTATTGATGCAGTATCAACAAAAGATTGTATTCCACCAAGATCAGCAAAACTAAAAAAAAAAAAAATTATAAGTACATAATATATTTTCATAATATTCAATTTTTGGCTTACAACTATTTCTCAATAAAACTGTAACAGATACTTGTCTAGAGGAACCTAGATCATATACTATAATTAATGCACTATCATTAAAAGGTTGAACTACATTAAGATCAGTAAAATCTAAAAAAAAAAACCTATACATATTAAAATCTAAAATCAAATCTACTTGTTTAAAAGAATAAATAATATTTCACCAGGACCTGGTTTGTTGATAAATTGAACTAGAATTATCTAATAAAAATAAATGCATACATATATAATTCAAATTTAAATTATCTTCATATTATTCAATTTTAGATGCTGAGCAGAATGGAAAATTAGTTTTACAATGATATTTAGTTTTTTTTCTGTGTATTACTTTTCTACCAGAAAAATTGCTCTTATTTTCAAGTTAAGCACCTTTTCTAAAAGAAATTTGATCTTTTTTTATTTTCTTAATAAAATGTTAAAAACATGTAGGAAAAACTAGAAAATTTACAAAATGTATTATTTATAAATTGTAAATATGAATATTATAGCCTTTCAAAATATGTATAACTGAACTTCACTCAGAATTATTTTTCGTTAACAATGATTAATCATTGCGTATACATAAATATTAAATATCCCTTCTACTTTCCCAAACGTCTCATCTAAAACAGTGGTCCACATATTGTGTGAAGTAAGTCAATTTGTTTTTAATACTATTTTTAAAAGCAAACAAGTAAAACATTTAATTTAATTTAAAAATAAATGAAAAACATTTTTTAACATTATAGAATTTCATATAAGTGACATGCAACACTGAAATAATTTATAGTAAATATTAGAACACAAAATAAATAAAATACACTACAATTTCACAAGCAGTTTCAATTATAAACAAAATCAATACAATATAAATTATAATTACCTAAACATATTATTGGATTCATAGAGAGTATAATACCACAGGATAGATGGAATGGTAGTACCATCTTATTCGTGCTATTTGTTAAACAATAATAATTTTTAAAAATTAGATGTTAATCAACAATTTAACATTTAAGACAAATAACACATATAATACACTCAAATTTTAAACAACTAACTCACTTCTGGTAAAAATAATGTGGGAAGAGCATTACGATTAAGTAATTTAGTACCGGGGCTATGACAATTCTCATCAAAATGTAGATCACACATTAAATATGAATTATAAATTTGATCAATTGTCAGGTTTATTAACTTAGAATTACAAGCCCTTTCGACCCAAATGACGAACCGCTCTAAATCGTTTTTAGGAAATCTGTGTTTAGTTATTCCTTTTCCACTCTTGCAGCCGTAAACTACACATATTGGAGATGGCATTTCATAATACTGTAATTAACAAAAACCAAATTTACAACAAAATTAAACACACAACCAAAACGGTAGAATGTACCAAACAATGACACACAAATCACACTTATCACCATAGAAAATTAATATTTTTTTCGTATTAAATTTTTCAACACATCATAACCTTAAATTTGTAGGACGTACCAACGTATTTATTTTATCGTTGGCACCACTGTTTTCTACCTGTAAATACCGTAAATCAATAATTTATACATATTATCAATTATCACCTCGTGGCCAATAAAATCTATTATTTGAAATATTTGATTCCAATACAACAAAACAACAAGACGTAAGACGCAAGAGAAATAAAAACAATTTTGTGAGTATATTAATAATCTTTAATCAAGTACTTCAATCAGCCGGACTGTGGGGTAAAATGTTTATTGTTTATCATAGCATCCATATTCAATAGCAATTTTTTATATTATCATTAATTATAATATTATGTAAAGTATGTTTATTACAAAAACATATAGCTATACTATTTACCAGTTAAAATTTTAAATTTTTAGTACTTTTAGATTCTGAGCAGAGCGAGGGATATATTCGTTTTACAGTGATGTTTATTTTTTTCATATGTGAACAACTTTTAGCAATTTTGATTCAATTTACAATAATAACACTTTTTCTAAAAGAAAATCTGACTTTAGGGAGGTTATTTTTGATTTTCCTAACTATTTTCATAATACATGGGAAAAACCATGAAAATAGGTACACTATTAAATAAATTTCATTAAAAAAAATATATAATGCATATGTTATTATTTTACTATAATATGACATATATTATATATCGTTGACAATGTAACACTATTAACTGAACTCCGCTCGGTATTTTTTTTCGTAAGCAATGGTTAATTGTTGCGTACATATATACATTAAATTTCCCCTCTTCTCACCTACAATAATGATCCACCCATGTGTGAAGTAGGTATTTTATATATTTTTAAAAATTTGTATATTTTATGAATTTTAAAAGCATATTTTTGCATGGTTTTGTGAAATAGGGGTAAGTATTTTACTGATACATTTTGTATGAAACCCCTGTTATAAATTTGTTTACTTTATCTGACTCTTAAATCATCACTGGTAATAACATATATTGTAGATTTTATTAATAAATGTAAAATGTATGTAAAATTTCAAAAAAGGAATCTCAAAGAGCAAGTTATTAAATCACAATATTATGGATAAGCCATCATTTAAAATATGTATATTGATCAACCATATCTTGTTGTGAATTTTTTAATGTAGGTAGATTAATATTATGAAATTAAATAACCAATCAACTGACTCAGTGATTAAAGTACTTAAAGGAATATTCAATTATTTTGGTATACCCTAAGAATATATTTCAGAGAATGTTTTGTTTAACAGTAAAGTACATCTTAAATTTTCTAAAAAGTGGGTTTTAAATTAACAACAGTTAACCCAAACTACCCACAAAGTAATGGGTTTGTGAAAAAAGCATTTGTGTAGCTAAATCTTTTTGAGAAAATGTTCATAAGTTGTTTCTTATAGACTACAGGAACTCTCTAATATCTGTTCTTCAGTAGATAGAGTTATTGATAAATAGAAAATTAATATACAAACTAAAAACGTTCTATGACAGATGCATTAAAAGGAAAGAAAGAAATTTAGAATTAAATGAACCAGTAACGAAAAAGAAAAAATTAAATTAATAATAGTAATTAAAATATTAAAAATATTATGATTATTAAATATTAATCATTGGTGACACTGTACTAGAATTGGAATATATAACATAGATCTCACAACTATAGACTGCGCATCCAACCATCCTCGCCTATCACATGGAAAGTAGATCGTTGAGTAAGAGAGATAGATATATTGAAGAACCACATCATGGAATTGAATGTATTGTAATTTTTTTACTCCACAGAATATGTAAAACATTAATAATACAAAAATGAAAATAATAATAAGTTTAATATTAATTATGCATTAATTGGTTTGTATGTAAAATAATACCAGTTTTTAAAAATTCGACATGCTACGAGATATAGATTAAATTTAATTGAACTTATTAATGTTTGAATTGTGATCGAAATTCTATTTATTGGCTATTTGAGTTCTTTATTATAATAATGTATCCGAGTATTTAAATATTGTTTTAGAGTTTTACAGTCAGTTATTCTACTAAAATGTCACAATACTTGTGATTTTTTATTCCTTATCCTGCTGTAGTCTCACATCTTTTTATGGAGAAGTGTTTACCCATTAATTTAAATTTGGATAAAAATATAGTTGTAAATTTTACTATGTTCTTTGAGTGAATACAGTTGTCTGTTGACAATCACAGTATATGTGAAAAGTTTAGTCAATTTTATTTTGTGTTTTTATTTTAATGAACATCTGTTGACAGTCAAATAAATATTATTTAAATGGAAATTTTTAAATTCAATAAAAGCAGTGAGAGTTTTTAAATCCAATAAAGGTAGTGAGATGATAGACTTTGAATAGTATATTTTTAAAACCATGTACAGAGAAAAGAAATTATTCTACTTGGTAATGTTCAACAAAGTATACTACAAATTGTTTTGGAATCCTAAGGACGAGCTAGTATTCTAAAAACTGGCCCTTCTGTGACAACAAACATAGTCATACTACAAGCAAATTTGATATCAATGTACTAAAAGCTTTAATGTGCAATGTCACCGATAATTTATAATCATAATTGTAAATTATTAATTTAAAGATTTTAAAATTTTGTTTTTTTTCCTTGGTCTTATTTTACATTGGTTTTTTTTGTTTGTTATTTTTTTTCCAGAATTCTACATTAATATTGTACAGTGCTAGAAAATTTAAATGAACCTATGACTTATTTAACCAAAAAATAAAAAAATAAATCAAAAAATAAAATTATATGGGACAGTAGTAACTAAACTTTTTTGGTTTACCCAAACCTAAAAATAAAAAATACAAATTGCACCTCCTATGATTAAAAGAACTACAATTTTATATTAAATTTTTTTTTTTTATGGCAAAAACAAATCAATTATACAAATTATTTAATTTAAATTAAAGTTTAACAAAATATTTTAATTTTTATAAGAAAAAAACAATGACTATTAGTATTTAATCTTTATGCAAACAATATGCTTATTTTTTGTTTAATAATTCTTCAAATTTAGATAGCAATGTTGTAACAGCCACACTCATTTCTTTTCCAACATTAAGTTTTGACTGATATTTTGATTTTAGTAGAGCAACTGTGAAAATTCTTGCTTCACATTAATATGATGTCGCCAATGGTAGTAATACAAGCAAAGCTTTGTTTGGCATTTCAGGATATTCATATATGTTCCAAAATTCTTAAATTGAATATGAAAACAATTTCATTCATAACACAGAATCAGATAAAATATTGATTAATTGTTCTTTTTCTGTAGTTATGAACTGTGATAACGATTTTTCAGTAAACGGGTCTTTAATCCAATTGTATTGTTTGATTTCTTCTAGAATATATTTCACGAAATTATTTTTAAAAGTTTTAAAATGATTAGCAATTATTTTTATTGAAGTCATTAGTAGTTCAAAATCATTATCTTAAAAAATATTGTTTAAAAGTTGAAAACAATTGATTTTACCATTTTCTTCTATTAGTTTCCTTTTTCATGTGTCAATTTTTAAATAAAAACAATCTCTAACATATAATTGCAGAATATGAGTTTCTTTACCTTGTAAAGATATGTTGAGCATATTAAGTTTTTCAGACATGTCACATAAATACGCTAATTTGATTACAAAATCACTATCAATAAACTCGTTGGAACAATTATGACCTTCTTCAATCAAATAAGTATAAAGTTCTTGTCTAAATTCTAACATTCTAATACTCATACTAGTACGTTATCTTTTAATAGCCATATAGAATTACAACAAAATAGTAATGCAGTATACTCTGCTCTCATTTTGTCATGTATCCTTTTAAAAGATGTTGCTTTTAAGAGATCCTGTTTTAACATAGTTAACTACTTTTACTATTGTTTCAAGTACGGTATTTAATGATGAACTCATATTTTGTGATGTTAAAGATTCTAAAGGTAAATAATATAATAAGTCCATATAATTTCTTCTGCTCTTTGTCATATTAAAGCATGAAGTCCATCATAATGATCAGCCTTTACTCCATCTGTACACACACCCAAACAGATTTCCCTTTTAATATTATTATGATTCATAAATTTATATTTATTAATAATCTCAAAGGTCTTTATCCTTAGTGCCTCTGATAAATAATAACAAATTTGCAAAATAATAACACTTCTATAATTATTCTGGCCATAAAACGAACATAACATAATAATTAATGTATGTCTATATTATTATCAGTAGCTTCATCAAACTGAATTGCACAAGTATTGTTCATTTATATAGTAAGAAATATGATAAATTCTGTGACTTAATGTATTATTAGAGAAAGAATATTTTTAAGTTGGTTTGCAGCAAATTCTCCCATTATAATTGAAATCATATCAATTACTGATTGTAAAATAACTTATTTTACCCTTAAGCAATTCTATTAAGTTTTTACATTGAGTAATTTATAATACATTTTTATATTAATAAATTTTAGTAATAAATCAAGTTTGATAAAGCTGATTGATTTTTTTCTAACTGTTCAAGTAGCCTTATAAAATAATCAGGTTATTATTACTCAATATACTATGTTTAGTTTTGAAATGATTAAACTATACTATCGGCAGCTAATACTTTTAAATAAATAACATATAGAACGTTCTTTGTATTTTCTAAACTTGTGTTTATATTCTTCTCTACCAGTGTCTTCATGTGGACGTTTGTTTATAATATTGAGAAATTTTTCAACAAATGTTAATAATGCATACCTCACATGCTTCTAATTCAAGACTATTACTGGTTTACCATACTATTACTACTGCTATTGTCGGACAAAATACATATATTTATGTAATAATATAATA